TAAGATGATTGGGATCAGTCAAAGGTAGATGCTATAAAATGATCCAATAGGCGTGTGATGGCTTCAGAATTTGTGTATGCGAATTTTCGACTTTAAAGTTTTCTTCTGAAACTCTAGCTGAAATTCTGTTAAAAAATGAGCATTCTTTCTTAAAAATCTGACTTTGAAGGATGGAGATTTTTCGAGTTTTTTTTGGTACGCATTCAGATTTTCGGCCATGTTGACCATTTCCCAGCTCCGACTTTTGTACCAAAATAATAGTTATATAGAAAATGTACTAAATTCAAATATAGAAAATGTACTAAATTCATTCTTGAACTTTTAAAAAGAGCTCCCAACACAAACACTATATAAAAAACGTAAATTCGACAAAAGCCAGGTTGTCCCCTGGTTGTCATTCTTGTGCTCACTTACTTGTTCACACCTCCAGAATGTCATATTCTCTACAATTGAGTTTTTTTGCCTATTCTTGGCGTCACAATTCCCGATTCTTCGCCATGTGTGTGTGTGTTTTGAGACATATAAAACCGGAAACGACGACTTCCGGTTCACGAGGGGAGAAGTCAAAGAAGAAAAAGTAAAAAGTTTCAGGGAAATCTTGAAGGAACGTCTAAATTTTAAGAAGGGACTGAAATTTGATAACATGCAGGCCTGTGGGCAGGTGCCTACTTTTCCGGAATGATTTATTCTTTCTATGAATGGACTTATAGTTTGTAATATGATCTCAAATTATTTTTAGGACGTTTTTTTTTTAATTGGCATCAGAAACTGACTCTATGATTACCGTAAAACCTGTATTAGAAGGGCCGGCCCTTCTATTGTTCCAAGGTACCTCCGGAGGGTATTTCTATTAGAGGGGCCCTTCAATTCGAGGGGCCCTTCTATTTTTCTGGCCATTTTTTCTGAAATTTTTCATCGAAAAATTCAACAAGTTTTTTTTTAAGGTGGGGGGGGGGCGGGAGATTTGGAGTTTTTTTTGGAGTTTTTGTACGCATGTCGTAACGGTGTACAACGCTTGATGTCACTCTGCGTGGCTCAGTCGGTAGTGGCGCCGCACCTTGAATACCCGCCCCGACAAGTTCAACTCCTCGAGGGACATAAATACCGACGGAGCCACCTCCAACAACGGTCAAGCAGGAGCCAGAGGAGGATGGGGAGTTGTCGTTGAGTCAGGTGAATTTTCGGTTTAGCGCTGTTTTGTAAATTTGATAGTTTTCAGACAGAAACCTCGATCGATCCGGTTCCTCCGCTTATGGAAACCAAACCAACAATCGTTACGAACTCGAGGCGATCCGTGAGGCTACAAGAATCGCTAGCCAAGTCCCAGACCGTCACATCTCTATCAACACCGACTCGCAGTACGCTGTCGACTCGTTGAACACCTGGAAGTCGAACTGGGAGCAGAACGGATGGCGCACTTCGCGTGGAGAGCCGGTCAAGAACCAGGAGCTCATTCGTGACATCGATCGCAACATCAACAATTTGCGTGATAGCGGAAAGGTCGGATTACCTGATTGACCCCGATTTATTTTTCAGAAGGTCACTCTCAAGCACATCTCTGGCCACAGCAACGACTATCATAACACCGAGGCTGACAGACTAGCCAGACAAGCTGCCGCTAGCAACGGTCGCAGATATTGAATATTTTCAAATGTAGCATTTCTATGTTAATAGCTTCAAGCTTCAAATAAACAATGTATTCAAATAACTAGAAAAAACAACAACTGAACTAACTAACAAAAAATACAAGAAATTAACTAATTGTGATTCTTCTTTCCTCCACCCTTTCCTGCACCCTGTTCGCTCATCTTTTTCATCATCTCCGGATCCTCTACAATCTTTCCAATGTCTTTCAGCGACAATTGTTGAGATCCTCGTTTCGCTGCTTTCGGCATATTCGGGCCTGGCTTCCATCCGATGAAAGACACGATTTTGAATGTGGCCGGATACTTTCCATCCTTTGAATACATCGACTGATAAATCGCCTCGGCAGCTATCAGAACGTCTCTTCGAATCGTTCGATTCCTCCGATGAGTGCAATGAGACTCAGCCATCAATTGTAGGTCATACATCAACGCAAAAATGTTCGGATAACCAACTTCAATTTCATCTGAATCCAGTGTAATCATATCGAAACCAGCAGAAGAAAGGAGGCCACCGACGTCTTGAGAACGAACGAATGGGGAAACATGAGAAGAGACACCACCAAGACGTTCGAGTTCTGCCAGTTGCAACGAGCATCGAAGCTCATAAAGAGTATCTTCAGCGAGCATAGAACCGATGAATGGGCAGTCTGGCTTCAGAATTTCGTTGCACTTTCTCATCCATTGTGGCAACTGGTTAATCCAGTGAGCAGACATCGAGGTTAAGAGAAGATCAAATTGGTTCTTTTGGAATCCTTCAAGGGTCTCTTCATCTACAGTACGACGCTCCACTTCAACTTCAGAATCATCACACGAAGCGCTGGATTGTGCCATTCCACCGCTCATATCCACCTGGATAATTTTGCCGACATTCTCTTTAATCAGATGAGGCGTTATGTGGCCGATTCCACATCCGATATCCAGTACTAACGGATTGAATTTAGTCAGGTCGAATACTTTATCGGCAACTCTCCATCCGATTTCTTCTTTTAGATATTGTGCGGCCTTGAAATCTGGTTGTCTGACAGCCCAGTCTCGCTGTTTTCGCTTCATTTCTCGATCGAAAACCTGGAAAAAATATTGACTTTTGATTAAATTATTGGCAATTTGTTTGCTAACCTCATTTTGAGATGGTTGCGAAGAGCTTGTGCTTGCTGAATCCACGTGGCAACTACTAGAGAACAATCGGAGAAAACACGAATTTGATGGTGGTTTGAGTCGGGTTATCATCCTTTAATAGTAATCTTTTGATAACTTAAAGGACATTGATAGCAGGGATGTTCGAAACGGAATTCCTCCGATCATTTTCGGAATATTTCCGGTGTTTTTTTTTGGAATTTTGGCCTACAGTATGTCAAAGGCGCATACGAAAAATTTCCTTCCGGGTTTCGATCGAGTTTCTACTTTAAAATTCATTGAAAAATTCCGGAATTTTGAAAATCCGAGATTTCGAAATCGGAAAAATGTGAAATTCCGTGAATTTGAAAATCAGAATTCCCGAAATTTTGAAAATCGGGTAATTCCGAAAATTGCGAACTTTTAAAAATTGAAAAATTCTGAAATTTTGAAAATTTGAGAAATCTGAAATTCCGAAATTTTCAAAAGCTCACGGTCTCCCACAGAACATTTCCGAACTGCGAATTAATTTTTGATCTACAGAAAAAAAATTTGGCGCGACCACAATTGCAGGTCTAAAACCATAATTTCAGAATTTTTTATCTGATTTTGTGGAGATTGAAGATAATTCAAATGATTCTTACAAAATTAATTAGTGGTTATAGACTCCTGTATGGTCCTTTTCATTAAAAAATTTCAAAAATGACCATTTTTGAAAGTTTTTTACAGAAAAAAATGTATCTCCTCTTTCAGTTTTTGACATTTCTAGGAGTTCTATAGCTCAAAAGAACCGCAATAATTTACACTTCATTTTGTATGGATGAATTTTT